GAGGTGGCGGCTTATCACATTTAAGTCTGCTGTTTGTAGCTGTCCATTGCATTCGTGTCCTGTCTGTTGCACAGCAGCAAGCTCCTGTTTAGTTAACTCTTTGCTCTCCTGGATACCGACTCGGCTTTGGCTAAGACTCCTCCTGGCTTCTGACCCCGGCTCTGGCGACCATTCTTCCTGGCTTCTGACCCCGGCTCTGGCGACCATTCTTCCTGGCTTCTGACCCCGGCTCTGGCGACCATCCTTCCTGGCTTCTGACCCCGGCTCTGGCGACCGTTCTTCCTGGCTTCTGACCCCGGCTCTGGCAACCGTTCTTCCTGGCTTCTGACCCCGGCTCTGGCGACCGTTCTTCCTGGCTTCTGACCCCGGCTCTGGCGACCATCTTCCTGGCTTCTGACCCCGGCTCTGGCGACCGTTCTTCCTGGCTTCTGACCCCGCCTCTGACCGTTCTTCCTGGCTTCTGGCTCTGGCGACCGTTCTTCCTGGCTTCTGACCCGGCTCTGGCGACCATTCTTCCTGGCTTCTGACCCGGCTCTGGCGACCATTCTTCCTGGCTTCTGACCCCGGCTCTGGCGACCATTCTTCCTGGCTTCTGACCCCGGCTCTGGCGACCATTCTTCCTGGCTTCTGACCCCGGCTCTGGCGACCATTCTTCCTGGCTTCTGACCCCGGCTCTGGCGACCATTCTTCCTGGCTTCTGACCCCGGCTCTGGCAACCATTCTTCCTGGCTTCTGATCCCGGCTCTGGCGACCATTCTTCCTGGCTTCTGACCCCCGGCTCTGGCGACCATTCTTCCTGGCTTCTGACCCCGGCTCTGGCGACCATTCTTCCTGGCTTCTGACCCCGGCTCTGGCGACCATTCTTCCTGGCTTCTGACCCCGGCTCTGGCGACCATTCTTCCTGGCGTCTGACCCGGCCTGGTTCTTCCTGGCTTCTGACCCCGGCTCTGGCGACCATTCTTCCTGGCTTCTGACCCCGGCTCTGGCGACCATTCTTCCTGGCTTCTGACCCCGGCTCTGGCGACCATTCTTCCTGGCTTCTGACCCCGGCTCTGGCGACCATTCTTCCTGGCTTCTGACCCGGCTCTGGCGACCATTCTTCCTGGCTTCTGACCCGGCTCTGGCGACATTCTTCCTGGCTTCTGACGCCGGCTCTGGCGACCATTCTTCCTGGCTTCTGACGACGCCGGCTCTGGCGACCATTCTTCCTGGCTTCTGACCCCGGCTCTGGCGACCGTTCTTCATGGCTTCTGACCCCGGCTTTGGCTATGATTCCCACTGGTTCTCGACTTGATTATCCTGGAAGACGACCTCGGCAGGAGAACTTATGTCCTACTAAGTCATCTGCTGTTGCTGTCAGACTTGCATAGACTCTTGCCTTGTTTCTGTGTAAATAAACCTACCTTTAATTTCACCTCCTTGTGTGTCTGGCTCCTCGTTCCCTGACAGCAGGGTCCAATATTGAGTTGGCCCCGCCCTTTCCACACACATGACCTTTAACGGACCCCCAGTCTTAGTCCGTAGGGTTCAATATTGAGTTGGCCCCGCCCTTTGCAGCTATAACAGCTTCAACTCTTCTGGGAAGGCCGTCCACAAGGTTTAGGAGGGTGTCTATGGGAAGGTTGGACCATTCTTCCAGAAGCACATTTGTCAGGTCAGGCACTGATATCGGGGGAGGAGGCCTGGCTCACAGTCTCCGCTCTAATTCATCCCAAAGGTGTTCTATGGGGTTGAGATCAGGACTGTGCAGGACAGTCAAGTTCCTCCACCCCAAACTGGCTCCTCCATGTCATTATGGACCTTGCTTTGTGCACTGGTGCGCAGTCATGTTGGAACAGGAAGGGGCCATCCCCAAACTCTTCCCACAAACTTGGGAGCATGAAATTGTCCAAAATGTCACCTTAAGAGTTTCCTTCACTGAAACTAGGGGGCCAAGCCCAACCCCTGAAAAACCACCCCACACCATAATCTCCCCTCCTCCAAACTTTACACTTGGCACAGTGCAGTCAGGCATGTACCGTTCTAGCAGCTGCCAAACCCAGACACGTCCATCGGATTGCCAGACAGAGAAGTGCGATTGGTCACTCCAGAGAACACGCCTCCCTGCTCTAGAGTCCAGTGGTGGCATGCTGTACACCACGGCATCCGACGCTTTTGCATTGCACTTGGTGCTGGAAGGCTTGGTTGCAGCTGCTCGGCCATGGAAACCCATTCCATGAAGCTCTCTACGCACTGTTGTTGGGCTCATCTGAAGGCCACACCAAGTTTGGAGGTCTTTAGCTATTGACTCTGCAGACAGTTGGCGACTTCTGCGCACTGTGCGCTTCAGCATACACTGACCCCGCCCTGTCATGTGACGTGGCCTACCACTTGGTGGCTGAGTAGCTGTTGTTCCCAGTTGCTTCCACTTTGTTATAATCCCACTAACAGTTGAGCGTGGAATATTTAGTAGCCAGGAAATGTCCCAGATGGACTTACTGCACAGTCTATAAATACAATAAGACCCATTGTAACTGAAATGTGCCACAAGATAGAGCTCCGTGGACTCCATTTCATTCTCAACGAGAGCACTGAACCCTGGGAAATGTAGCTACAGCCAGACGGGATGCCATCTTAAATACAGACACAGGAGACTACAAAACCCAGTATGCCTGAATGCAGGAAAGGCCAGCAGGGGGCAGTTTGGAGATAGTCATTGGTGTGAGCAGAAGGGAAGGTCCTGTCTGAGAAAGAGACATGGAGGCAGTTAGAGACTGTCAGTGTCAAAGAACTGACTAAGCAGCAGCAACTGAGGTAGGCCAAAATTGGTGTCGGTGTCTGCTGGAATTGGGCAGCATCCTTAGGCCTACTGTGAGAGCCATGGGGGAACCAGGGGCGGACTGACAACTCATGGGGCCCCCGGGCAATAGGGATCATGGGGCCCCTGTGTCTTTGCCCAAACTCAAAAAAGCCTATGAAAAAGGTACCAGGGGCATCTCATGGGGCCCCTTACTGACCCCGGGCCCTCGGGAAGTGCCCGAGCTTCCAAATGGTCAGTCCGCCCCTGGGGGGAACCAGGAAAACAGACCCAGACTTGTTCATCACTGATGCTACTGCAGAAAAAGGGTCCCTTCAGGGTTCGCCGTTGCATCGCAGAAGCCAGAAATTGTCGGATAATTACCAGAAATCACTGATGAACCAACCACAGCAAAGAAAAGGGACCCCCCATCTAAGAGGAGGAGCCTGCTTTAACTGCTACAGTAAAAAGTGGGTTACAGCCAGGGGCGGACTGACAACTCATGGGGCCCTGGGCAATAGGGGATCATGGAGCCCCCGTGTCCTTGCCCACACTCAAATCACACCCAAAAAAGCCTATGAAAAAGGTACCAGGGGCATCTCATGGGGCCCCCTACTGACCCCGGGCCCTCAAGAAGTGCCCGAGCTTCCAAATGGTCAGTCCGCCCCTGGGGGGGAACCAGGAGAACAGACCCAGACTTGTTCATCACTGATGCTACTGCAGAAAAAGGGTCCCTTCAGGGTTCGCCGTTGCATCGCAGAAGCCAGAAATTGTCGGATAATTACCAGAAATCACTGATGAACCAACCACAGCAAAGAAAAGGGACCCCCCATCTAAAGAGGAGGAGCCTGCTTTAACTGCTACAGTAAAGCGGGTGAGTGGGTTACAGCCAGGGGCGGACTGACAACTCATGGGGCCTCCGGGCAATAGGGGATTGTGGGGCCCCTGTGTCCTCGCCCACACTCAAATCACACCCAAAAAAGCCTAAGAAAGGTACCAGGGACATCTCATGGGGCCCCCTACTGACCACGGGCCCTCGGGCAGTGCCCGAGTTCCCCAATGGTCAGTCTGCCCCTGGTTACAGCACTTGCTAACAATTCATCAGTTGGCTATGTGCCAACCTACCAGGCAGTTCTGGGACATGGTCATCCAGAGGCCAGGGCAAGGATCCAGAATTGCGCCCCCCTCCCCCACTATCAATGCATGCCATAGAATGGATGTAGCACCCTGCATCACGTTTGTGCCCCTTGCTTCTCTGTGCCCAGGGCAGCTGTCCCTTTTGCCCACCCCTTGTCCCAGCCCTGCTACCAGGAGAGTATTATTGTCCCTTCATCTGCATTATCATCTCCCACTGGCCCACTGCTGTGCGGTTACAGTCTTACTGACATAAATTCATTCTCTATCCTCGGATGTGTTATCTCTTGCCTGGCCACCTTCTTGTCAGGGCTCTCAAAAGATTATTGTTCCTCACTGCCTTACTGTTTTCAGACACATTCCCTCCAGCGCGCCAATGTCTTTATGGGCCCCAAAGTAGCCGGCAAAAGAATGACTTTAACCACTTCCCGACCGGCCGTTGCATATAAACGGCTGGACGGTGGCACTGCAGGGTCGGGTGGCCATTTATAAACAGCCTCCCCGCACCCTGCTTGTGCGCGCTCCCTGGGAGCGCGCAGCACCGCAATCCGGTGCCCGCTGTGTCCTCCGGACACAGTGAAACACCGATCGTTGGACGGGACCTCTGTACGAGGTCCCGATCATGTGATCACTGATTGGCCAATCAGTGATCACATGAATAGGTGTAAGCAAGATGTCACAAAAATAGAACAAAAGAGGGCCACCTATAATGGCACAAATAGCATGTGTCATACTCCTATCTCCGACTCACTTATCATGTAAGTGTGGATCCATAAACCCGAGAAATGCATACTAAACAATATGGTAGTGTGACAAGAGCACCCCTACCCAAAAACAAGAGGTTACTAAGAAATCCACGCGGAGTAATGTGGGTTCAAAAATTACAAACAGTACTTTATTTGATCACATAGATCATACGGAGGTTTCCCGCCGACGACGCCTCCCGGCCCTTTACGAGATTCTGACGTCGGGAGGCGGGGCGGTGGGGGCGTGGTTTTAAATCATGTGACCGCCGTGATGACGCGTCACATGATCGGGAAAGGTCCCGTTCGAAAGAGCGGAGCGGGACCTTTCCGTGAGTACTACACATGTGTGCGGGGAGCGCGCAGGGCGCGCGCTCTCAGCACATATGTATTTAGTTCCATGGACGCAAATGTGCGGCACGCTCGGCGTCTAGGCCCAGACGCCGGGAGGCCGCACATCTGCGTGCGGCCGGCGCAAAGGGGTTAAACAAGAGCACGGTGAACATATCAGACAAATAAAATCATTTTAAAAGCACTTGGCGTCCTCATTTCTGGGTCATTTTGGCATATAGAGTACCATATAAGGCAATATAGGGTAATGGTGTGGTTTGATCCTAGGTTTCCATAGATTTCCGACTTGTATTTGAATAAACCATGTATTCATCAGGCATGTTCTTAATATGAGCCAGAGTATGTAGAATAGCTTCCTGGTATGTGGAAACTGGAACAAAAAAAATATATATATATGATGATATAGGAGCTGAAATCGCACCTAAACCACACCAAGCCACCCTATACAGTAGTCAGTAAACACTTTCATTACCTTCTCAGTAGTTAGACTGTTATTTTTTTTTTTTTTTTTTTTTTTTTCCAAAAAACGTTTTATTGAAGTATGAAAGGTAAACAAATGATAGACAGATACGGATCGCAGTCCGTGCAAAATTTCTTGTACGTTCTCCCGTAACGCAGACGGGATCAAGACAATATATTAATTTGTAGAACATCAGAGGACGGAGTTCCACAGTAAGGCAAAAGTGATAGACGTAACCATAGCAATACTGACAGTAGCATGTACTTTAGATAATTATGGTATACACTAGGCTCTATGTAAGGAGAGTACACATAAGCGGATTCTGAAGTGGTCGACAAAAGTATCCTCTCAAGGCATCTATGACATATATTTCCATCTCTAAAAAATGTGGGCTACTGTTGTAGAATATTGTTACATCTGTATAGCTATGAGTGTTCCGTACCGAATGAGAATAATAGCTAATTAGATTATGAGAAAAGTGGGTGTAAATGTGAGAAGGAAAAGAAAAGAAAGAGAGGAGCGTGGGGATGGAGGAAGAATATGAGATGAGATATCAAAAAGAAATGCCCGCAGCGGAAAAAGAAGAAAAGAATTAGCGCAGGGCAGGCATGACTAGGCCCAGAGTGGGAAGGAAGATGTGTAAGGGTTAATGTTAGCATTAGGGTTGGTAAAGGATAGCTGGGGGATCTGGTTGGTAGAGGAGAGTGTAGGTGGGGTCTCCTGCACTTTAGGGTGGAGTGTTCTGGGGAGGGGCGTCAGTTGGGAGCTGGAGCTGGACGTGGGAAAGAGAGCTTCCCTCCCGCCCGCCCTGTTTGGTGAATGTTGTGTTCCTCCTGGGGGGGGGGGGGGTGATTTTGGTTCCTGGGCGGTGGTTGGTCTTTGGAGGCGGTTCTTATCTTGGAGGTACAAAATGGTGTGGGACCCATCGTTGGTATGGTGTGCCCGGGAACATTCCCAGTTAACCGAGGTTTAACTGGAAGGTGGTGGTGCTGCACTGCGGACAGTATGGTTGTCTCCGAGCTGGTTGGTTGCGGCTGGAGGCCTAGTGGAATATGGTTGTCCGCAGGTGCATTTTCGGATCGTTTTGGTGGTGCCTTCAAAGACCAACGACAACTCTTTATGTTTTCTGTTATAAGGAATGGTTGATGTGTTTAAACTTGATTGGTTAATAAAAGGCCGTGCTGGCCATTTACTCCAAAATTGGTGTTGTGTTTTCTGTAAGTATAGTAAGTAAAGGGGATTGGTATGGAAGGGTAATGGTGGTGTAGTGGGGTCTGGATGAACCTATCTCGGGTGCACTAGTCATGAGGTGGGAGGAGACCCACGTGACAAATAGAAGGGGGGAATGGGGAGAGAGAGAGGGAGAGAAAGAAAAAAAAAAACAAAACAAAACGGGGGGGGGGGGGGTGGGAGAAGGGGGGGGGGAAGTGGTTGGATGATGAGGTTCATATTTAAATAAGCATAACCAAACCAGTTACATCTATTAGTAACAGCCTGGCTGTATCTAATTCCATCTTTTTAATTAGCGATATAATTCAGTGAATGACCGTTAATGGAGTTATTGCCGAGGTGAAAGTTCTAGAGGCCTTCTGTGTCTCCAAGTCTTTCTCGTTCAATCCTTCAGCAAGCCAAGGTAAGTATCAGTAGATTGGAAATGGGTCCAACAAGCCCAAGTCTTCCTGAATCGCTCGGGGTGATCTTTTGCCACTGAGATCAGTTCCTCCATTTCAGCAATCCTCTGGATCCTAAGAATCTACTCTCGTACGGTGGGAATATAGGCTGATCGCCAATGAACAGGGATACACTGCTTTGCCGCATTTAACATGTGTAATGCAAGGGACTTACGGTAAATCCTCACCGGAAAGGAGGAGTGATGGAGTAGACATTGTGCTGGTGTAAAGTCTAATAGACTGTTATACCAGCTTGATAAATGTAGAGAATTCCTGGGTAACCACCCCAAGTGAAACAAAGTCCACAGTACCAAGTGATTCTGGGGATATATATAAAAATTATTATTAAATAGATCACGAGCATCAAGTGAAGACCCTAAAAACAACAACAATATATGGATATATTACCATCAGTGAAGATCAAGAAGACTCCCGTCGACTTGAAATAAGATCAGGTCCTTGATGCTTGTTCAAAGATGCATGTGTGGGTGGGAATCCAGGTAGTCTCAATACATAGATTTCAAAAACGTATATTCTGTATGTAGCAGGCAGTAAATACCTGAATCTATATACCCAGTGAAGGGTTTCCAAAAATTACTCAATCTGAGAAAGTAAAGCGGTTCCTATAGGATATGGCTATGTCACAGCATACAATGCCTGTATGGGATAACGTATATATATATATTTTTTTTTTTTTCCTCTGAAGAGGATTTCCAAAAATTCCCCGAAAAAAACAGGGTTAGTTAGGCACATTGAGCATTCCCTCTTAACTCCATATATGCTCTATAAATCTAAACAGCAGTAGGCTAGAGTAACTTGCCACCGGTGGAAGATGTACTCCCATGAGGGATTGCCGTTTGCGAACCGCTGTAATAGTAGCCTTATGGTAGTTTTCCAAGGGCCTCGTGCCTTCCTAGCAAGGAGCTGTGACACCGCCGTTACTTCCCACCTCGTGGACGCCGCACCCTATGAAGACGCCAAGCGTAGTGACGTCATTACGTTGACACGTTTCGTCCGGCAATCACCGCGGACTTCGTCAGAACTGGGAGGGGACTTCATTCCATTGCCTTATATAGTGCACTAATTGCATACCAAAGAGTCTCCATGTCGCCCTCTTGTGTTGAAAAGATATCACTACATTCAAAAATCCAAAGTGAATTAAAAAACATATATTTAAATTTTTTAAAATTGACTGCTGGCAATAAAAAGGGGGGCCATACTGAAGTAAACCAGATCATCTTTAAAGAGGATAATGGGAAAAGATAATTATTATGATTCTAGAGGGGGGAACCATCAAGGCCAAGTAGAAAATCTTAATTTTAATATTATTCAAATTATTGTAGAAATTCAATCTACGGTGGGACATAACCCCCCCCCCAGGTTGAATTCATATTTTACCCAAATGAATCCATGTTTCCTTAAATTCAGAGTGACCCAGTACAGACTATACCCCAAGGTAAGGTGAAAGATTCAGAGGAACTCAATTTAAGAAAACTTTAAAATTGAGTTCTGTATTTAATCCATATGGGACAAGTGCACCCAGGGTATAAATCCAGAATTTCTCTTTTTGTAGGAGGACTTTATCAAAGTCACCTCGTTGAGCTGAAATATTCAGCAGGAAGATCCCTTTAACTTTCAAGCCTTCTGTTTTTCCCCCGTGTACTTCTCTAAAGTGTTGTGCCAATGGATTCTCTTTATCTCCCTTCCCTATATTCCTATTTTCATTTCTGATATCTCTCAGATGTTCACCAATCCTGGTTCTGAGATTCCTTTTCGTTTTTCCTATATACATCTTCTTGCATGGACATTCTATCATGTATATTATTCTATTACTAGAGCAGTTAATAAAGCTTCGTATCTGAAATACCCTAGATTTGTCATTATTAAAGAACTGATTGGACTTATGTACAAATGGACAAATTTGACAGTGGCCACAGGGGAACATACCGCACAGGCCTGTCCTCCTAGTTAACCAATTCCTTTGTGGTGCCCTCTGGAATTCTGATTGTACTAATATGTCATTTAGATTCCGAGCTCTTTTTGCTACCATTTGAGGGCTCTCTCCTACAACTCTTGCTATCTGTGGATTTTGTGTTAGTAAGTACCAATGAGAGTCCAGGGCCTTCTTCACTTCGCTCCATTGTTGCCCAAATTTAGTTATGAATCTTACCGGTTGGTTTACCGAATCCACCTCTATCTTTGATTTTGGTTTATTTATAAGCTCCTCTCTTGTTCTACCCAAATGTTATGATCCGCCAGGTGGTGCCTCAGGCTGCCAACTGACAGACCTACTCAGAGCGTGGGGTCTAAGCCCGGGCTGTGCTTTCACCAGAGCCCCTGATGGTGGGGATGGACTTGAAACAGTCCCGGGCCAGGTCACGACCTCCGAGCAGGCCCGCCAGTGGGCACAGGTACCGGGAGAGCCAGATATGAAGAGGATGGCGGCCCCAGCAGGGTAGTAACGGATCGTGGGCCCGTGAGGGTAAGCGGGGTACAGAATCGGGTAGGCGAGAGTAGTCGGGTCACACGCAGGGTCAGCAGGGAAGTCAATCCGTAGAATGGTCAGGGCAATCCGGGTCAAACACAGGAGCAGGCAGAATAGTCAGGACAATCTGGGTCAAACGCAGGAGCAGGCAGAGTAGTCAGGACAATCCGGGTCAAACGCAGGAGCAGGCAGAATAGTCAGGGTCAATCAGGGTCACAAGATAGGTGCAGGAACTCAGGATCACAGAAGACCTTGCGGCAATCTGTGACAGTGCAGGGCATCTTTAAATAGTGCGCCCTGCACTGTCATTGGCTGGCTAGGACGCGCCCCCGGCTGTCATTGGACGCCTGAGGCGCGCCCGCGGCTCCTACTGCGCATGCGCGGCGTCCTGTCAGCCGCGGCTCGCCGGGACCTAGTGCCTGTGTCCCGGCGCGATCCGCCGCCACTGCGCATGCGCGAGGGACGGAGCCGCGATCGCGGACCCTGGAGCCGTGGTCCCTGACACCAAAGCTCTTCTTTTAGC